TCAATGCAACTTCACCTCCACTCATTGCAACTTCATCAGCAGTCAACATGACCTCACCTGCACTCAATGCAACTTCACCTCCACTCATTGCAACTTCACCAGCAGTCAACTTGACCTCACCTGCACTCAACGCAACTTCACCTCCACTCAATGCAACTTCACCAGCAGTTAATATGACCTCACCTCCACTAAATGCAACTTCTCCTCCAGTCACTGCAACTTCACCAGCAGTCAACATGACCTCACCTTCACTCAATTCAACTTCACCAGCAGTTAACATGACTTCACCTCCACTCAATGCAACTTTTCCTCCAGTCTCTGCAACTTCACCAGCCATCAACATGACTTCACCTCCACTCAATGCAACTTCACCAGCAGTTAACATGACCTTACCTCAGCTCAATGCAACCTCTCCATCAGTTCCACCAGTTAGTGCAACTTCACCAGCCATCAACGTGACTTCACCTCCACTCAACGCAACTTCACCAGCAGTCAACGTGACTTCACCTGCACTCACGGCAACTTCACCTGCAGTCAACATAACCTCTCCCCCACTCAATGCAACTTCTCCACCACTTACTGCAACTTCACCAACTTTCAACATGACCTCACCTCTACAAAATTTAACATCCCCACCAGTCAGCATTACTTCCCCACCACTCAATACAACTGCAGTACAGCTGCTTTCCACCATTTCACCAACAGGTAATCAAACTAATTATGTAACTAAGAAATCTAAAAAAAAATAATTTAGTAAAGACTATACCTCAGCAGGACAATAGTCAGTAAAAGTGAGTAAAGTAAAGTAAAAGTGAGCATGCATCAGGATAATAGTCAGTAAAGTTTGATAAGCAGATAAAAAGTCAGTCTTCTTGTATAACCTGTCCTTCAATATTTGCAGCAACCAATGCAACATCTGCTTTTAATACAACAACTCAGACCATGGCTACTTCCAATGCAACAACTGCTACTACAACTGCAGCACCCACTGCCACCACTACAACTGCAGCACCCACTGCCACCACAGCAGCCACAAATCCTCCTACAGCCAATGAGGGAACCCTGGGTTTTACGTTTAGTCTGAACCAAACTTTTACACCTGATCTTGCTGATAAAAGCACAGCTGCATTCCAGAGTTTGGCCACAAGAGTGGTCAATGAGGTAAGGTTTTCCCATTGTGTGTTATAATAATTATTTTTAACCAATGTAAATACATGTCTAGTTAAGACTTGCTGTTTTTTTAAATACAAAATTGTGGTCATGTTATACACAGAGGTTTATCATAGAAGCTTTCAAATCCAACAGAACCAAACAAATACATTAGAGGAGCCCAGTTATATTTAAAGTTTTGTAATGATGTCTTTCAGGTAAACAGAGTGTGTAAACAGCTCTATGGAACACGTTTTCTTCGATCCCTTGTCAATAAATTCAGGTCAGAATACATTTTAATTAACTGTAAGTTGAAGAAAATGTTTCGGTTATTCCCTTTGAAATATGTTTCTATTTTTTAATGACAGGAGTGGATCTGTCATCCCCGACATGACTCTTGTGTTCCAAGATAACGCCTCCGTTCCCTCAGTGGTCAACGCAACTACAGAACTTAGTACTGAACTTGCCAACAGTACAGTCCTGACTGTTATACCAGGCAGCGTCAATGCATGTAAGTATAAAAATAAACATATGCTTAATAATATCTGTCAGTTTTGTAGAAAATACAATAATATATTTATGAATAAACTATTGGTTTTGTACAGCCACCACCACTACTACCACGACTGTTGCTCCTGCTACAACATCGTCTGCAGCTACCAATGGAACAACAGCTACAACTGCAACACCTATCAATGCAACAA